GACAGTAAGAGGGCCACCTGAGCTGAGGGTAAAACCTTTTCATGAGAGGGAAGGAAGGAGAAAAGACCATATTGAAATGCTTTGTGAAGAGGCCATGTGAGAAGGCCACAGGAAGGTGAGACTCCTTTTCACAGGAAAGTGGGTAATATTAATATTCCAGGGCATAGAGGAATATTTAACAGAACTATTAGCTGCATGTTGTTTGGGCCTGTGCTTCCCCTAAGAGGTGCCTAGTCATGTTTACTCAGATATTCTAAAGATTTTTTTTTCACAATTATGAGCAACATATTTTCATTACAGAAGACTCAAGTATATAAAAAGGAAAAAATAAAAATCCCATTCACCAGAAGCAACTGCTATTAATACCTCATTGTGTACATTTCTAAAGTCTCTCATGGGGGCACCTGGGTGGCTCAGTCTGTTAAGCATCTGCTTTCGGCTCAGGCCATGATCCCAGGGTCTCAGGATTGAGCCCCGCGTCAGGCTCCCTGCTCAGCGGGGAGTGCTTCTCCTTCTCTCTCTGCCCCTCTCCCTGCTTATATGTGCTCTCTCTCTCTCAAATAAGTAAATAAAATCTTTATTAAAGTCTCTCATAAACATCTATTTATAATATATATTTAGTAAAATTAGGGTTATACATCCTGTTTTATAAGGTAATTTTATCACTTAATACTATATTGTGCATAATGTTCCATGTCAATAAACATATTTCTCTGATAAGATTTTTAATACCTGCATAGTTAGTGACAGTTTTTTTAAGACTTATCCAGCCCTCTGGAGTGATAAACTTTGCCTTTCATTTAAGATTATTTTTTTTCCCCTGTAACAGAGAGAAATATTTCCTCTGTAAGTGAGAATGGTATCTAGATTTTTTTTTCATTACCAAGGGACATGGTTATTTCTCTTTTTTTCTTTAGTCAAACTGCAGTAGCTGGGTCAAAGTGCTTTATTATATTTGTGGCAGAGTTCCTGGCCACAAAATTTTGGCCACATCTATAAAATTCTAATTTCAGGTGAAAGGGCAGTGTAAGTTTAATTTTTCTGAAATTGCAAAAGAGAAAAACAGGGATGGATACCAATGAGTTGCAAGTATCACTGTGTATCCTGCATATGAAATCTTCTGGTAGTTGGGCAGGTCCAATTGGCCAGAGCATGGCGGGTTTCTCATGGGCATAGCCACTAAAATGTTGACTAAGTAGGTCTTTATTTTGGAGCTTCTGGGGTATAGAAGGCCTTGGTGCAAAGCGCATGCTATCAGATATGGCACCCTTTTCAGAGAAAAGATTCTGGTACAACAGGAACATAAGGCTGACCAACTGTATTAATTCTTGGATTTATTCCTCATTGTCTTTTTCTCTACACAACAGGTCTTCTGAACGTTTGCATGATGTCAAGGGAAGAGAGGGGATGTTCTTTTTGTTTCATCTCTACCCTCTTTTCTTGAATCCTCCCCCACCCCCCGAACCCATCTTTACTTCATCTGATGGCTTTGTATCTATATGATTTTTTTGATATCATTATGTTCTGTTTCCAAGGACCACTATGTATTTCACGGCAGGTGTTGGGGTGCTCCAAGTAGCATTAGAGGATATTTAGAATCAGAGACCACTTAGAAGTAATAAGAATAAGAATACCTAGGGGCCCTTCGGTGACTCACCCGGTTAAGCATCTGACTCTTGATTTCGGCTCAGGTCATGATCTCAGGGTCAGGAGAAGGAGCTCCACATTAGGCTCTGTGCAGCCTGCTTGAGATTCTTCCTCTCCCTCTGCCCCACCGCCCCCCTCCCTCCCTCTAAAAAAGAAGAAGAAGAAGAAGAAGAAGAAGAAGAAGAAGAAGAAGAAGAAGAAGAAGAAGAAGAAGAAGAAGAAGAAGAAGGAGAAGAAGAAGAAGAAGAAGAAGAAGAAGAAGAAGAAGAAGAAGAAGAAGAAGAAGAAGTGCTGTGTTGTGTTTTACATTTATAATTTCACTTAATTCTAGAAGAACCCTATTATTTGGCAATTACAATTATCCCCACTTTATCAATGAGAAAACTGAAACTCAGAGTTTAGGTAACTTGCCAAACTTCATGCAAAACCAGAATTCAAACCAGGTCCATCTGACTCCAGAGCCATTTCTTACCTACATGGCTCTACTTTCTGTCTCAGTAAGCTTAAAAGTCAGGGAACTGGAAGGAACAACAACAAAATAAACCTAATATAAGGCCAAGAGAATTGCTGACAAAAAGATGTATCTTTCCTTCTCCATGTTTAATGTCAATTTTTATACTTTGGCTAAGATATCTATTATGAAGCTATTTGCTGAAGGTCATTTTCCTCCTACCCCGCCCTCATCATCAGATGATTTTTATTTATAGCTATGTTTAAACATCATAGGTAACACTTAGACTTCCTGTATACTGAATTTTCCATCTGAGCAAAGATTCTTTCTCAAAGCATATTTGCTTTATTTACTCTCAATTTCTTGGTTTTTGCCAAGAAATTAAAAGGACTTTTTTTTTTCTTTTCTCTTAACTTATTGTTCCAAGTATTCCTCAGCTTTAGAATTTAGACAGTCAGGTCCAATTAGTCAAGACCAGATTAATCAAACTGAAGTTTTAGATCCATGGCTAGCTTGAGTTCCGCAAAGTAGAAAACATTCTAGATTCTTTTTAAAGGAAAAGACATTCTGATTTAGTTCTTTATTGTTTGTAATCACATATGCTTTACTTCACAGCTTGAATGCTAATAAGAGCTTCCTAGAATTCATTCCTTAAGAAGTTAAGTCATGGCATCTAATTATTTGGCAGGATGTTTTAAGTATATATAATTATATCTTCTCTCCATTTTGTGGTGGTGAGCCAAGTAATCTGCATCAAGAGAAAATAAATAATACCTACATTAGGGCTACCAACTAGGAGCTCACATCATTTTGGAAAAACCCACTCATTTATAATCTTAACACATAGTAGGTGCTCAGTACTTTTTTTAGGGTAGATAAAACCTGTGAGGTTTTTATTTTGTTAGCTTTGTTTTTTTAACCACACGACTTCTGACAACATAGCATTTTCTAAATTTCCTTTTGAAAGGAATTTTTTTCTCATTGGAATTATGGTCCATGGAAACTACTTTGTAAAATGCTGCTGCAGATGCTTAAAATTTTGATGTCCTCAGGACACATTTGCACCCATTCAGGACCTCTGAAATATGAATGAATGCAGCCCTTAGGGTGCCCAATACTTTTTAATGAACCAAACTAATCTCACCCCCACCTTTCTAAATAGGATAACTCAGGCAAAGGGAAATCATATTGACCCTATTCCATATTTCAATCCTTGGAGGTCAGTTGTGTGAGTGTGGCTGAGACCCTGCACTTGGGAGTATAAAGTTTCAAATCCTGATCACTACCTTGGAAGTCCCTTCTCTTTTCTGAGTGCTCGTCTGCTTCTTGCCCTATGAGACAGAACCAGTACTCACACAGTACAGGGCAACAGTGAAGAGTAAGACCGAAGATGACAGCACACTGAGCATGGCTTTATAATCATGAGCACTAAGTGATGATTTTTTCCTCATACATTCTACATGATCATAACCCTTCTCTATTATTTGGGGATGATAACTGCAAAACATGGTCAGAATTTGGGCTAAAATAACTTTTTTTTCAAGTCTGGTAAATTATAAGTCTTTGGGGAGGTAGATCTGAGACACTTTCCTCTGGGCATGCTGCTGGGAGGTAGAAGGGAAGGCAGAATTGTCATTTTCAGTCTGGGAAGGCCAAGCCGGTCAGCCTCATTAAGCAGGTTGTCTTGGATGAAGGACAACTTTCAGTCCCACCATTCGCTGACCCAGGCCTCCAGAGCTTTCTTCAGCCTTTTGGTTGGGATGATGCCCTCAGAGATGTAGAGTGAGCACTTGGGTTCAGCAGGGTCGACTGCTATTGGGGGTAGGAAGTCTAGAAGATGGGTGACCAGGGTCAGCTCTTGACTTGAGCTTTAAGGTTAAATGTCCTTTGGAAAGTTCTATCTCTCAGGTCCTGTGGACATCATACTATCTATTCCTAGACTATTGAGAGAATACAAGCTTCCACCAGGGCAGGATACCTTGTCTGTTTGGATGACCCTTCTTTCTCCCAAGCGTGGGATCGAGCACATAATTGGCGCTTTACAGAAACAAACACTGTGAATGCAGGGACATGGGGATGTGAAAACATTTCACAAACCCCAAAGAGATTCATAGCCAGACCGAGATCTGATCCTAAGGTATCTGAGCTTTCTTTAAAACGCGGGTTGTAGCCGCTTCTGACACCCTCAGGTCGCCGTCCCTCTAGAAAGTAGGCCAGAGAGAATTGGGGTTGGGGTGTTGTTCTCATTCCCACAAGGAACCCGAGGGGTAGGAAGGCGCACACCTGGGTCGGAAGGCAACAACGGGCGAGGCTGCGTGGGGCGTGTGGAAGCCAGGCGCGCGGTCTGAGGCTCCGAGAGAAGCCCAAGCCTCGGCCGCAGGCATCGCGCCCAACAGGACACCTTAGGCCCGAGGACAGGTGTGTGCGGGGCGGGGCGGGGGAGTGAGGTGCACCACGCGGCACTCCCAGGGCAGACACACCCTCCTCCGCCCACGAGTGACCTAATTACAAGGTGCCTGCCGCGCCCAGAGGCGGAGGTGGCCACTGCAACCAGGCTACCACTCGGCGCCCGTTCCTGCCCCCAAAGATTTGGGTATCCCATACAATTCCAGCGCACCACGAGGTCACAACTCTAGTTTCTGTGACCTGGATGCAAACGCGGGGTGAAGCGCAGAGCCGGCTCACCTTAGAGAAAAAGTCTCCGGCAGCTAAGTTCTCCGCCCACACCCTCCAACCCCGGGACTGCGTCTGCGCCACGCCGGCGCCCGCGCCCGCGCCGCGCAGGACGTTGTGCTCTGGAATTAGCCCCGTTCTCTGCTGGAGGCGCCGAGCTTGCCTTCACTCGGTCTTCCCCCACCCCCGACCCCTCCCTTCTGGACGACCACGCCCTAAAAGCGAAGGTGCCTCAGTTACCAGCCGGCTACGTTGCGCCTGCGCCTTGGCCCCTGGTTCCCGCCCCCCAGTCGGCTCTGGCGGCGGACCAGGGTTGGCTCTGCAGTTGCGCAGCTCTTGTCCCGGCCCTTCTACCCCGCCGCCTCCTGACGCCGGGCGTGATGTCACCACGCCGGCGGCCGCCATTACAGAGAGCCGAGCTCCGGGACTAGATCGAGCGGAGGAGGGCTGCGGCCGGTGGCCGGGTAGTGCAGGGAGAGGTCGTGGGTTCGCGCTAGCGCCGAGCAGCTGCCAGCAGCCACACAGGTACCCCGGGAACCGGCGGCGGCGTGTGCGTGTGGCCCGTGTGCGGGCGGCGGCGCGGGAGTAGCGCGGAGCGGCAGCCGGTTCGGGCGGGTGGCATCATGGACGAGAAGGTGTTCACCAAGGAGCTGGACCAGTGGATCGAGCAGCTGAACGAGTGCAAGCAGCTGTCCGAGTCCCAGGTCAAGAGCCTCTGCGAAAAGGTGAGCTTTTCTCTAGCTGTGGGAGGCGCCGCGGGCCGAGCCCCTCGGGGAGGAGGCGGCTGTGGGGAGGGTGCAACATGGCGGAGGCAGCCGGTCCGGACCCCCCGAGCCTCCCAGACCGGCGCCCGGCGCGGTCCGGCGGCAGCTCCCGGGCGACCCGGCGCCCCCTGCCTCCAGCGCAGGGATTGGTTGTCGCCGCCGCCGCCGCCTAAAATGGCGCCGTTCACCCGACTCCCGGGCTTCCGAGCTTCCCGGCTTTGGTGCCGGGCGAGGTGGCTAGCGGAGCAGAGACCCTGTATGTGAGGGTCGGGGACGGTTTTGAGATGCATGTGAGAGGACTTGGGTTCCAAGGCCTGGGATGCGGGCCTGTGACTCTACTGTGAGGTGGGTAAGACGCTTTTTACTTGTACTCAGGCCTCATTCTTCGGTCCAAAGCTGTCCAGAGGATTCCCCCAAAGGCGAGCTCTTAGGCCGGATCCCAAGACCTGTCTAAAGGTCGCTCACCTTCAGTACTATCCCTGGTGGTTTATGTTAAACTCACTGAGCAGTCCTTTCCAGAGACCGACTTAAAAATGTGTTGTAAGAATTTAAAAAATATATCTCTAACCTAATTTCTACGAAGGTCACGGCGGTAGGTGCAGGGAGGAGTACAACTTAGGTTTCATAGTTGGAAGAAATGGAGAATTTGGTGAGTCATACTACATAAGGAGCTTTGGGATTGGAAATCAAGTGTCGGTTTAATCTCTGATTTATATGCTGACTCAAATTGGGTACTGTGAAACCCTTTTGCGAGCTGAACGTACTTGGCATTTTGCCATCTATTTCTAAAATGAACAACGTAAACTGCGAGCAGTAAATTTTGTATACTGGCTCTTTGTTGGGAAAGTTACTTGTTTGTATTTTTGAGGCTCTAAGTAGCAAGATAGTAATAATAGCTGTTTATTGAGCTTTTACTATGTCCCAGACATTGTGCTTAGTGTTTGCAGATGTTGAAAATGGAATGCTGTAGTTCCTTATTTTAATAAGTCCATTTTAAATTACCTAATTCCGTTTTGTTTTTACGTAGGGGTTGGGGAAACAGCCTATTTAGCTATTGGCTGTGTTGTATATTTGAAAGTGTTATGACTCAGTTTTCTAATATATAGAAAATGCTTATCTCCGCTATAAATAGTTTAACTTCTCTTGTCAAAATTAACTTGGCAGTATTTCATTGTAGTGCAGAATTGCGGAATACCATATTTGCATTTTGTGTTAGTGAGGAGAGTTGTTAGAGAGCAATTACGCTGACTCCTTTGCGGTTTGATGGGAAAATTGGGTTCATGAGTTTGATGTCTATGTTCCTAAAGCAGGCTTTTTCAGAAACTGTGCTGTGAATAATTGCAATTTAAATGAGTCAAATTCAGATTTATTTATCCTTAGCCTGAACAACTCTCCTACTAGTTGATGAGGTGGTAAATTATCTGTTGGAGCTGAATTTTAATGTTAGCAATGTATTGAGTCTTTTGTTCCTTCTTTACCCTCTTCAAATAAGGATGGTGTTTGTATTAAGGGTTTAGAAAGAGGCTTTTAAAACTTAACGTATACTGTCAAGTCTTAATTTCTAGGTGCTGGAAGTGATGATTTTAATGACTTTTAGGGATCAATACCGTATGTAGACTTTGAGTTAGCATTTGGTTAGATGACTAGTCATTTGTGTAGAAAACATTGGAAGAGAGATAATGATGTAATTGGAAGACCACTGGACTTACAAGTTAGACCTGGACACTATTCCTCTTTCTGCTGCAGAGTAATTGTGACTGATCTTGGGACACTTAGTCCACATTTTGCTGTTTAAACTAAAGAGTTAAAATAGATGTTCCAGAGTCCCTTCTAATCTGAGATTATATAATCCAATTTAAATTAGTATATTGTGTTTAAAAATCGAACACCTACTGACTATCCGCGATTGCTTACTTTTATGAGAGAAAGGAAATGCAATGAAGTATAATCACCTTTAGTCTCAAGGAGCCTGAATCTAGTTGGAAGTAGGTAGTAGATGAACCAGGGAAGTAGAGGGTTTGTGTTGGAGACTGCAGGAGATAATACTGGGTGCTTAGATTGGGTGTGTCAAGACTGATGAATGTGGTGAATGTGATTGCTTTCCCCATCTTTGTAAAACTAAGATATAGTGAGATTAAACAATTTATACTTAGCTCTCCATTGCTTATCCAGTGTGTCCAGATTTTTGTTCTTAGAGCCAAAAAGGTGGAAATAATGTTTGAGGTTAGGTTTCCAAGAAATGGATCATTTGAGGGAGAATATTATGCAGTCTTCATACTCTTTAACTTGCAAGTTTTTGAACTTTTGGAACTACGTTAACTTTGTAAACTAAGTTTTAAGGCAGCTTTTTAGGTATGTGAAATGAGTTAGGATGCATGACTTGAAATGATTTTTTGTACTAGGAAACTAAAACAAAAATTCTCTTTTCACTCTTAATTGAATAGCCAATAGCACATCTAGCGAAAGCTACATATTTTGAAAATCTTGAGGGAATCATTTTTCATTTGTATAATAGTTTTCTTTTTTTTTTTAAGAAAAGATACTTGTTGGAGATAGGTACTTGGTAGTAGTTGAAAATTTATTTATTTTTAAAGATTTTTATTTATTTATTTGACAGAGAGAGACACAGTGAGAGAGGGAACACAAGCAGGGGGAGTGGGAGAGGGAGAAACAGGCTTCCTGCCGAGCAGGGAGCCCGATGCGGGGCGTGATCCCAGGATCAGGACCTGAGCTGAAGGCAGCCGCTTAACGACTGAGCCACCCAGGCACCCCAGTCATTTTTTAATTTTAAGAAGGAAAAGTAATACAAAAGCCTTCCTTTTATCTGCCTGAAGGTGCCTGATCTGAATGAAATATTTAAATGGTAAAGATAGAAGTATACCATGAGAGGTCATGGTGATTAAAAAAATTCAGAGACCATTATTATGGTCTCCCATTAGCAGTTAACAGTGGTAGGTGTTCAAAATGCAGAGAATCCAGGTGTGTATTTATAGACAAAGGTGAATATGGTTTTTATGCAATTGACTAAGCTTTTTTCCCTTCAAGGTGTGATTAAGGTTTATATCAAAGCCAAGATGATTGTGTGTGGAGTATACTTTGTCATTTGGGGGATCATAATTTTAGTTGATTGTTGAAAAAATTGTGGTGAGTGAATGCAGTTTTGTCTCTGGTACAGTTCTGTGGTCAGTAACATTACTACATTTGTATAACTGGATGGTATGTTTCCATTTACAGATTGGACGAAGTAAATAGTATCAACTACAGTAAACAGTCTTTTTATTATGTGACTTCACCAGTGGTTTAATTTAGGTATGATTTTTGGCTTTGTCCTTTCAGGTCTTTCCAAACTTGTGGAGAATGTTGTTTGTTAGCCAGTTTTTTTTTCTTTACCCAAAGGAGTTCTTTACCTAGGTATGCTCTTTTCCATTGCTCTGCTTTTTTTTTAAATAAAATGCAGTCATTAAGGCCTCACATTTGTTACGTGAGTATGGGAAAAAGCAAACCCTCTTCTCACTGGATGAGCTGCAAAATGTTTGACCAAGATTAAATTTCTATATGAAGTGGGTAATAAATTTTTGTGAGTCTGTACGTGTGCTTAATTTAAAGGATTGTTTGGGAGCACCTGGGTGGCACATTCGTTCAGTGTTGGACTCTTGTTTTTGGCTCAGATCTTGAACCTCAGGGTCGTGAGATCAAGCCCGCCTGGAGTCTGCTTGAGATTCTTTCTCCCTCCTGCTCATGTGCTCGCTTTCTCTGCCACTCGCCCTCCCTCTCTGCCCCTCCCTCTCCCTCTCTCTCCCTCCCTCCCTCCCTCCCTCCCTCTCTCTCTCTGGAATGGATAAATCTTAAAAAAAACAACAACAAACAAACATTTAAAAGGTTGTTTGGCTCATTTTCATAAGAGTAAAAAAAAAATTGAGAACAAATGGGGAAAGCATGATGCAGAACGTTTGCATCATGTTTTCACATACACAGGTCTTTTAACAAGTTTATGTGACAGTTATTATCCTCAGTTATAGACGGAAACCAGAGGCACAGGAAGGTAAAGTGACTTGACTTCAGGGGGCTAAAGTGAGATTGTGCAGGCTTACAGATTCTCAGCCCAGTGTTCTAGTGTTGCTTTACAGCCTCCCCTCTTTTCTTAGGTGGTGTTAATAATGAAAAATGGAGGTGAACTGGGGGCAAGCTGAATTGTAGAATCAACAGCTCTGTAAAATAAAGCATTATTATTATTCTCATTGCTTGAAAGCTTCCCATTCATGTCACGCACTGTTGTCTCACTTTGTCCTGGAGGAGGAAACCGTAATTATTCTTCAATTTTGAATGTGGCTGGCTGCATTTGCCCCTCAAATAACATTAGTGAGAAGAAAATGCCAGTTCATTTTCTCTGTGTCCTTAGTGCGAATCATGGTCTAGAAACTGAACTTTAAAATATTCCAGGAAAGCATAACTAACATTTATATTGTTCAGTACAGTTTGTAAAATGCCTTTTTTTTTTTTTTAAAGATTTTATTTATTTAAGAGAGAGAGAATGAGAGATCGAGAGCATGAGAGGGTAGAGGGTCAGAGGGAGAAGCAGACTCCCTGCTGAGCAGGGAGCCCGATGTGGGACTCGATCCCGGGACTCCAGGATCATGACCTGAGCCGAAGGCAGTCGCTTAACCAACTGAGCCACCCAGGCGCCCTGTAAAATGCCTTTTTATCATGGCTTCCACAGTCAGACCTATATGTGCCTGTGTGTGTTTCATGATCTAGTCATGAAGCAGTAGTGCCCTTGGTTTTGGGTTGACTTAATGAGGAAGCATCGAAAAGGTGAACAGTCCTACTGTTCGGAAACACAGGTCCCCCAACTTTCCTTTTGTTTTCTCTGTCAAAGTCAAGAGTTCTGCCTACAGATATTGGCAGGTGAAACTCATGCTGTAGAAAGCATGAGGGACACTGGAGGAGTGTATGGGTAACAT